TTGTTTCATGGGAATCTGGGGAATAAACTTAGCAAAACAGGGGGGTGGGAAAAAACCAAATCTCTTGGAAACTAGGTACCAGGTAACCAAAACCCTGCCCCCTTTTCTTTTTTGAGTTGATGGATGTGGTGATTATTTTTAAGCCCATTTAAGGCCTTTGTTTGTTTTGGGTGGGCATTTTTAATGTGAAGTGTGTGTCCACGTGGTGCATGAATGCGTGTGCATGCGTGTGTGTGTGTGTGTGTGTGTGTGTGTATGTGTGTGTTTGTGCTTGTATGTGCGTGAGTGCATGTGTGCATGTGTGAGTGTGTGAATGTGTGTATGTGTGTGTTTGTGCATGTGTGTGCGTGACTAAATGCGTGTGTGTGTGTGCGTAGTTGCATGTGTGTGCGTACGTGCATGTGCGCATGCATGTGTGTGTGCTCTATTGTCCCCCTATTCAATAGCATCCCGGTGAGGTTGTTATTGTTGAGTGTGTTGCCTCGCAGCATAGGGAGTCTGGGGTTGGACTGTTGTTGTGTGTTGTTTTGTGTTCATACAGGTTCCATGCTGGGGGGGCATGCGCTCCCTGTAGACCCACACAACACTGTGCAAACACAGCCCATTATAACAGGGGGAAACCTGTCAACGTGCTCAGTCAGTTGGTTAATTGTTTTTGTGAAAAGCTGATCTACAGACATATCTAGGACGACTCAAAGCTGTAATTGCCGCCAAAAGAGCTATTACAAAGTATTGACTCAGGGGTGTGAATACTTATGTAAATTACATATTTCTGTATTTAATTTTCAATAAATTTGCAAAACTGTCTACTTATGTTTTCATTTAGTCATTATGGGGTATTGTGTGTAGATGGGTGAAAAAAAACAACAATTGAATTCAGGCTGTAACACAAGAAAAAGTAGAATAAGTAATGGGGTATGAATACTTTCTGAAGGCACTGTATATGTAATTAACAGTTTTAAACTCTGTGGGGGTTTCATTTGTAAGAAGTCAGAGGTGTCAATATAAAACAAGTATACATTTAGCAAATTACGCATAAAGCTATAATTTAGAGGAAATTGTACTAACAAAGTTAGTAAATCAGATAATTGCACCACCACATTACCACGTCTACATTGTCTGAAATCAATCTCATGAGCACTTTGTTATTTGACTCTTCAACACACACTTTTTAAGTATTTGAGAGAAACAGCATGTATTTTGAGCTTTTTCTCTCCTCAAACATTCACCAAAGCATTCCTCTCTCTTTCTGTGTCATACTGTATTCTTTCCACAATGCCCTCCTGTTCAATAACCTCTGTCTTCTCTGGTAAATCTCATCCAGTCTTTAAACTCTCTCTTCTCCTTCACCTCTGCCCCGCTCCATTCCCCCTGCTCTCTTTGGTTGGTGAGGGAGCGTTGGCCCTTGGCCCCTGGCTCAGGCCCAGGCCCATTAGCCCCAGACTGGCAGCCATGTGTTTGTCAACAGAGATCATTACACTGAGGCAATGACACCGCTCTAATGCATCATTAATGATTTATTAACGAGGGGAGCCCAAGCGGGGTCATTGTATGGAAGAGCACCCTGTAATGGCTTTGCTTTTTTGACAGAGAGTGTGTCTGTGTGAGAGAGATACAGTTGAGTAGAGAAAGAGAGAGGGAGAGAGGAGAGAGGAGAGAGAGAGAGAGAGAGAGAGAGAGATCGAGTCGAAGTCTAATCTTCAGAGATGACTGAGAACTCTGACGTCTTCTAGACTCCCTTTCCTCTCTCCTTCTTCTCGATGCTCTCTCGTCTCTCCTCCATCTCTCTCCTCTCTTCTCGCTCTCTCTCGGTCTCTCTCTCCCCTCTCCTCCTCGCTCCAGCTTCCTGTTACCATACCGCACAGTTTCTCACTTGTCAATATTACATGTTTTATAATTGTCACAGCATAGCTACCAGATTGTAGCAGTTTGTATGTTACGTAATGTTTTCGGTCTGCTCTCAACTCTGTGTCTGTCAGGTTGAGTGAGGGAGCTGCGGCAGCAGCAGAGTGCCCCGTGCTGCAGTAAAAAGGAGGTGAAGAAGACAGGGTAGAGCCATGGCAGGATGGGGCCTCCTTCTGCTCCTCCTCCTGTGGGTGGTCTCCCTGGCCCAGGGCTCGTCTTTCCTCTCTGGTCAGCGCCACCGGACCCGTCTGCAGAGGGACCGTCAAGCCCGCAACAACGTCCGACCCAACATAATCCTTATCCTCACTGATGACCAGGACATCGAACTGGGTAAGACACAGTAGGACTAGCAGGGTGTGTGTATGTGTGTGTGTGTGTGTGTGCATGCGAGTGTGTGTGTGTGCGTGCGTGCATTCTCCATTTGCCCACTCAAAGTCAAGAACCCCATCGCCAACTTAATTATTGGCATGGAGTGAGTGGCCTATGGTATCCATTGTCTGAGTGCCAAACTCTGGCCATCTCCCTACCCGTTTAAGCTTTTAAACTGCGTATTGGTCTGGAGTGCCAGTATAATGGCCTCGCTGACACCCCTTGTCCCGCTCTGATTGGTGAGAAAAACTCCATTGAAAACCAGGAATTTATGGTTGAGCATCTGTTTCACTAAACAATCGGCATCAGCATGAAAAGCCTTTAGTACACATGAATTAAAATGGGCAACACATCACAGAAAATATTTATTCTTATAAAGTTGCTGCTTCCACTAGTGGAGCCTCTAAGTCCAAAGGCTCGGTTATTTTGATTAAAAGGAATGTAACTTTAGTTATTGAAAAGACTAGCAAGGAACTGTCAGGCCGCTTAGCTTACATTTGCACATTTATATATGGCAAGAAAGTAGCATTTATGTCTGTCAATGCACCCGCTGTTTTTGAGGACAGCTTTTTCCTGGGCTTACCAAAGAATTGTTATCACTTTCAGAGTACGAATTGGTTTTAGGGGCAGATAAATTATGAATGTAGTTTTTGATCTCAGGCTTGATAGATCCACGCAAACTTTTTCACATGCCCAACAATCAGCATCATTAGCGTTGAATGCAATGAAGGAAAATCTCAATATCTCTGATGTGTGGCGAGTTCAGAATCCGGGCATCGAATTGTTTGTGGCTGAATTTAAAGTAGTTGAAATCTTAGCGAAAAACAAGGACTCTGTAGAGGACCCAAGGTTTACATGGATGGTTATTAAAGGGTTTATCAGAGACTTTTGCATCTCACCTCAATAAAGCCAGGAATCACAGAATCAAAAATGTACATTAAAATCACTTGAACAGAACCTGAAAAGGAATCACTCAAATAATGTCAGCAATGATTTGAGGGTGGTTAAACTGGAGCTTAATGATTTATTAAGGAGGAGACCTGAGTTTATCATGCATAGAGTGAGGCAGAACTATTATTTTAATGGGAGCAAACCAAGCAGGCTTCTAGCCTTAAAACTGAAACAAAGTGAATCTTGTACTTCTATAATAATAATAATAATATGCCATTTAGCAGACGCTTTTATCCAAAGCGACTTACAGTCATGTGTGCATACATTTTTACATATGGGTGGTCCCAGGGATCGAACCCACTACCCTGGCGTTACAAGCGCCATGCTCTACCAATTGAGCTACAGAGGAATCTATTCAACTGCAACATTTCAGTCTTTTTACCAGGAGTTATATAAATCTTCTATCCAGTTTGAGCCAGACAAATGCAAGAAGTTTTTAGATTTTCTTGATTTGCCCATATTGGATGAGAAGCAATCTGCGGATGAGGGCCAACCCATCTCACTAGAGGAACTGGAATCAGCACTGAAAGGTGCTAAAAAGGGTAAATCACCTGGATGGCATTCCACCTGAACTGTTGTTACATTTTTGGGGCATTATTCTCTCTACTGCCAAAGAAAGGGAAATATCACACAGATTGTGCAAATTATCGTCCGATATCTTTAATTAATTCCTATGAAAACACAGTATTGGGTATTAGTATACAAACATCTATGCATGGTCTGGTGAAGTTTAATTATGAGAACATTTACTAGGAGGTTGAACGAGATTTAACCGTTTGGAAGAAGTTGCCTGCTTCTTTACAAACTAGGGTTGCTTCCATAAAGATGAATGTTTTGCCACGTATTAGATTCCTGAGCATGATGATCCCACTCCCTCCACCAGTAGGTTATTGGGGGATGATTGATAAACGTATACGTAAATACCTTTAGAATGGCAAACATCCAAAGATTAGGTTTGAGGTGTTACAATGATGGAAGTGGACTTGCATTACCAAATTGTTTTATTTACCACCAGTCTTTCCAGTTACGCCTACTTAGATCATGGTTTGATCAGTCTACATCTGTCTCTGTTTCACCTATTAGATTGCAGGATGTGTTATTTTCTGGTATAGCTAATAAGAAATGCATTTTGTATTTTGGTCCTATTATTTCTAATACAATAGAGAATTTTAGGAAGGTTGAGAAGTGTGTAGGTGGTAACTGGAAATGGCATCTCCATACCCCTCTATGGCATAACAAGACTATTACTTCCGGTAATAAACCTTTTGAGTCTAGAGCCTGGTCTGCAAAAGGGGTCAATAATCGAGGGGATATATTCAACTCAAAGGGTCTTCTCAGTTTTCAGGAACTCCGTCTTAATTTTGATTTGCCAGGGTCTTCATTCTTTCTTTATATTAGATTACGGTCAGCGCTTCCTGCCTATGGCGTCCCATGGGGTACAAGTCTGGAAAGGCACCTGGTGATAGAGTGGATTTTTACATTCCCATCCAGAGGTTCTGTGTCTGCTATTTAATCTCATCTTGAACTATTAAAACAAAAATATATTTAAATGGTTAAAGCATGGGTAAATGATTTGGCTGTCGATGATGAGGCTATTGATTGGGAGAATGTCTGGGAGAATATATTTCACTCATCAGAGAGCCCAAACCATCAATTAATTCATTTAAATCTTTGTCATAGATCATACTGGACAACACTTGTAAAATGTCATGCAAAACAGGCTCAAAGCTCATACTGTGACCTATGTAACCTAAACACACTTGGCACATACAAACAACTGATATGGGATTGTCCTGAGGTTTATGAGTTTTGGAGGAAAGTGTTGTCTATTCTCTCTGACATGGTTGATAAAACTGTACCCCTTGAACCAATTCCGCTGTTGCTTAACGATGATACAGGTATGTATGCAGCTGAATGAGAAACAGCAAAAGGTTTGGCTGGCTGGGTTGACTGCTGCCAAAAAACTTGTTTTTCAGCGCTGGTTGCCACCACAAGGAAATGGCTAGCATACTTTCAGAACGTAATTATATTGGAGTTATCCACTGCCCGTATCAATAAAGCCAGTGCTAGCACTTTGGAAACATGGAAAGTAGCCACCTCAGAAATCTCTAAACTGTTGGATATGATGTAGGTGTGTGATGTAAAATGCTTACTTGATGGTGTTGTATTAGCAAATGACTTTGCTGTGTATATTCTAGTGTAGTGCGTGTTGTTTATTTTAATTTGATTCAAACTTTTTTATACATATTTTTTTTTATATATTATGGGTTGTCCAAGGTTGGGGATAGGTTGGGGCTGCCAGAGGTATGTTTGGAATAGGTGGGGTGGGAGGGAGTGTAAGTTCAACAAAAAAAGGGGGGAAAAGTGTGATATTTGTATTTTATTTTTATGACTGTATTGCCCTCGTGACCTAATAAAAAACAATTGTTCACAAAAAAGAAAGTATTTATTTTCTCTCTCCCTCTCTCTCTCCCTCTCTTGCATCCCTCACCCCATTCTATCTTTTTGCCTCTCTTCCCCTCACCCTTCCCCTCTCTCTCCTCTTCCCCCTCTCTTTGTCCTCCAGGCTCAATGCAGGCCATGAATAAGACACGGCGTATCATGGAGCAGGGAGGCACCCATTTCTCTAATGCCTTCTCCACCACTCCCATGTGCTGCCCTTCGCGCTCCTCTATTCTCACAGGGAAGTACGTTCACAACCACCACACCTTCACCAACAACGAGAACTGTTCCTCACCCTCCTGGCAGGCCCACCATGAGCCTCACACCTTCGCTATGCACCTTAACAACTCAGGCTACAGGACGGGTGAGTTTGAGCTGTGCAGGATGCACACACACACACTTTATTGCATAGAGAATCACTTTGTACTTATCACCCCCCCTCGTATCCTAGCCTTATTTGGGAAGTACCTGAATGAGTATAACGGCTCCTATGTGCCCCCTGGCTGGAGGGAGTGGGTAGCGCTGGTGAAGAACTCTCGCTTCTACAACTACACTCTGTGCAGGAACGGCGTGCGGGAGAAGCATGGCAGCCACTATCCAAAGGTTTCGTCCTTTTTCAGTTTTCCGTCAAACATTGGAGTAACCTACTCAGATCAAAATTTAATAATCCAATTTCATGTTTTATAATACTGTTATAAGACAGTATAGTAAACAGATTATTCTGAATCTAAATATTGTTATAAGGAAGCCGTTATGATAAGATCCATTTCTCTATTTGTATTTATCTTTCCCTTTCTGGGAGGAGGTAATATTAGAGTTCAGATCCTCATAGTCAGGTGATTCTTGCTTTCACAGGACTACCTCACAGACATCATCACCAATGACAGCATCAACTACTTCCGCTCGTCCAAGAGGATGTACCCCCACCGACCAGTGATGATGGTCCTGAGCCACGCTGCCCCCCATGGGCCGGAGGACTCAGCACCACAGTACAGCACTGCATTCCCCAACGCCTCGCAGCACATGTAAGAGTATATTGTACACACACACACACACACTAATTTGACAGAAGATGCAGTGTGGTAGTGTACTGAATGTACACTTGCCTCAGTAATGATCCTTGCTAATTGCATAATTTAGACTGGCATTGTTAAAGAGGTTAATGTTAGATAGGCATGCATAAATTATGATAACACACTATGGGTCCCAGCCTTTGTCTGCTTGGCACTGTACCCTGAAGATAAGCGCTTGGTCGTGAATGTTTCTCTGATTCTCTGGGCCTGGGCTAATGTCACCTCTCCCATTGGCCCTGTGAGAGACATACAGGGAGGCAGTAATGCACCTGTGTCTTCGGTTGATTGTCCTCTCCTGTAAGAGTGAATCACATAAGCATCATTAAAGTACTGAACAAAGGCTTTACACAGTGAATACGTTCAGCCTGGGCTGTTTCATGTCAAATTTTAATAGCTTTTTCTCATGAATTTACACACACACCCACGATTTGAGCTTATAGATGATCTCACTTTCCCTTAAATATAGAGGGAGAGAAAATGGCTCCCCTCTTACTTTTTTTATTTTTTATTTTATTTAACCTTTATTTAACCAGGTAAGCCAGTTGAGAACAAGTTCTCATTTACAACTGCGACCTGGCCAAGATAAAGCAAAGCAGTGCGATAAAAACAACAACACAGAGTTACATATGGGATAAACAAAACGTACAGTCAATAACACAATAGAAAATATATATACAGTGTGTGCAAATGTAGTAAGTTATGGAGGTAAGGCAATAAATAGGCCATAGTGCAAAATAATTACAATTTAGTATTAACACTGGAGTGATAGATGTGCAGAAGATGATGTGCAAATAGAGATACTGGGGTGCAAATGAGCAAAATAAATAACAATATGGGGATGAGGTAGTTGGGTGGGCTAATTACAGATGGGCTGTGTACAGGTGCAGGGATCGGTAAGCTGCTCTGACAACTGATACTTAAAGTTAGTGAGGGAGATAAGAGCCTCCAGCTTTTTGCAGTTCTTCCAGTCATTGGCAGCAGATAACTGGAAGGAATGGCGGCCAAAGGAGGTGTTGGCTTTGGGGATGACCAGTGAGATATACCTGCTGGAGCACATACTACGGGTGGGTGTTGCTATGGTGACCAATGAGCTAAGATAAGGCGGGGATTTGCCTAGCAGTGATTTATAGATGACCTGGAGCCAGTGGGTTTGGCGACGAATATGTAGTGAGGGCCAGCCAACGAGAGCGTACAGGTCACAATGGTGGGTAGTATATGGGGCTTTGGTGACAAAACGGATAGCACTGTGATAGACTACATCCAATTTGCTGAGTAGAGTGTTGGAGGCTATTTTGTAAATGGCATCGCCGAAGTCAAGGATCGGTAGGATAGTCAGTTTTACGAGGGCATGTTTGGCAGCATGAGTGAAGGAGGCTTTGTTGAGAAATAGGAAGCCGATTCTAGATTTAACTTTGGATTGGAGATGCTTAATGTGAGTCTGGAAGGAGAGTTTAAGGTCTAACCAGACACCTAGGTATTTGTAGTTGTCCACATATTCTAAGTCAGACCCGCCGAGAGTAGTGATTCTAGTCGGGCGGGCGGGTGCAAACAGCGTTCGATTGTTTTAGATTGATTAGTTTTACTAGTGTTTAAGAGCAGTTGAAGGCTACAGAAGGAGTGTTGTATGGCATTGAAGCTCGTTTGGAAGTTTGTTAAGACAGTGTCCAATGAAGGGCCAGATGTATACAAAATGGTGACGTCTGCGTAGAGGTGGATCTGAGAGTCACCAGCAGCAAGAGCAACATCATTGATATACACAGAGAATAGAGTCGGCTCGAGAATTGAACCCTGTGGCACCCCCATAGAGACTGCCAGAGGTCCAGACAACAGGCCCTCCGATTTGACACATTGAACTCTATCTGAGAAGTAGTTGGTGAACCAGGCGAGGCAGTCATTTGAGAAACCAAGGCTATTTAGTCTGCCAATAAGAATGTGGTGATTGACAGAGTCGAAAGCCTTGGCCAGGTCGATGAAGAGGGCTGCACAGTACAGTCGTGGTCAAACGTTTTGAGAATGACACAAGTATTGGTCTTCACAAAGTTTGCTGCTTCAGTGTTATGAGATATTTTTGTCAGATGTTACTATGGTATACTGAAATATAATTACAAGCATTCCATAAGTGTCAAAGGCTTTAATTGACAATTACATTAAGTTTATGCAAAGAGTCAATATTTGCAGTGTTGACCCATCTTTTTCAAGACCTCTGCAATCCGCCCTGGCATGCTGTCAATTAACTTCTGGGCCACATCCTGACTGATGGCAGCCCATTCTTGCATAATCAATGATTGGAGTTTGTCAGAATTTGTGGGTTTTTGTTTGTCCACCCGCCTCTTGAGGATCGACCACAAGTTCTCAATGGGATTAAGGTCTGGGGAGTTTCCTGGCCATGGACCCAAAATGTCGATGTTTTGTTCCCCAAGCCACTTAGTTATCACTTTTGCCTTATGGCAAGGTGCTCATGCTGGAAAAGGCATTGTTCGTCACCAAACTGTTCTTGGATGGTTGGGAGAAGTTGCTCTCGGAGGATGTGTTGGTACCATTCTTTATTCATGGCTGTGTTCTTAGGCAAAATTGTGAGTGAGCCCACTCCCTTGGCTGAGAACCCCACACATGAATGGTCTCAGGATGCTTTACTGTTGGCATGACACAGGACTGATGGTAGCGCTCACCTTGTCTTCTCCGGACAAGGTGTTTCCGGATGCCCCAAACAATCGGAAAGGGGATTCATCAGAGAAAATGACTTTACCCCAGTCCTCAGCAGTCCAATCCCTGTACCTTTTGCAGAATATCAGTCTGTCCCTGATGTTTTTCCTGGAGACAAGTGGCTTCTTTGCTGCCCTACTTGACACCAGGCCATCCTCCAAAAGTCTTCGCCTCACTGTGCGTGCAGATGCACTCACACCTGCCTGCTGCCATTCCTGAGCAAGCGCTGCACTGGTGGTGCCCCGATCCCGCAGCTGAATCAACTTTAGGAGATGGTCCTGGCGCTTGCTGGACTTTCTTGGGTGCCCTGATGCCTTCTTCACAACAATTGAACCTCTCTCCTTGAAGTTCTTGATGATCCGATAAATGGTTGATTTAGGTGCAATCTTACTAGCAGCAATATCCTTGCCTGTGAAGCCCTTTTTGTGCAAAGCAATGATGACGGCACATGTTTCCTTGCAGGTAACCATGGTTAACAGAGGAAGAACAATGATTTCAAGCACCACCCTCCTTTTAAAGCTTCCAGTCTGTTATTCTAATGCAATCAGCATGACAGAGTGATCTCCAGCCTTGTCCTCGTCAACACTCTCACCTGTGTTAACAAGAGAATCACTGACATGATGGCAGCTGGTCCTTTTGTGACAGGGCTGAAATGCAGTGGAAATGTTTTTTGGGGATTAAGTTCATTTTCATGGCAAAGAGGGACTGCAATTAATTGCAATTCATCTGATCTCTCTTCATGACATTCTGGAGTATATGCAAATTGCCATAGTCAAAACTGAGGCAGCAGACTTTGTGAAAATTAGTATTTGTGTCATTCTCAAAACTTTTGACCACGACTGTACTGTCTTTTATCGATCGCGGTTATAATATCGTTTAGGACCTTGAGCGTGGCTGAGGTGCACCCATGACCAGCTCGGAAACCAGATTGCATAGCGGAGAAGGTACGGTGGAATTCGAAATGTTCGGTGATCTGTTTGTTAACTTGGCTTTCAAATACTTTCGAAAGGCAGGATGGATATAGGTCTGACATCTAGAGTGTCACCCCCTTTGAAGAGGGGGATGACCGCGGCAGATTTCCAATCTCAGACGAAACGCAAGAGATGTTGAACAGGCTAGTAATAGGGGTTGCAACAATTTCGGCTGCTAATTTTAGAAAGAAAGGGTCCAGATTGTCTAGCCCAGATGATTTGTAGGGGTCCAGATTTTGCAGCTCTTTCAGAACATCAGCTGTCTGAATTTGGGTGAAGAAGAAGCGGGGTGGGGCACGGGCAAGTTGCTGCGGAGGGTGCAGAGCTGTGGACTCCATCCTTCCTGAAAAACCTTTCCCTCGTCCACATTTCAGACACTTATCTTCACCCCTTGTTGTCAGGGCCTTATGCTCCAAGGCCATAGATGATTAGCCTTTTTCTAAGTCAAATCGATATGCAGTAAACGTTAACTATGCCTCCAAAACTTCATTAGATATTTAGCAGTGTATTTATTTTATAATCATTAAGGTTCCATCTGCCCCTGAGTGAATATTGATTAAACTGTCCTCTCCGTGTTAGCTGAAATTGATCAGTATGGCAGCTGGCTGGTTGCCTTTTCCGTGGTTTATATGCCTCCAATTCAGCATTACACAATACGTTCTGAGATCACTTTCAAAGGTGTGGTTGGAGCCATTTGCAAGCACAGGGGAAGGCTATTGTTGTACATGCCAATCATAAAACAACATGAAACAAGTCACAGCTTTGTATAATCCGACAATGCAATACAATATGCAATACAATGCAATAAAATAAAATGCAATACACCCCAGAATGTCAAATGTAGACAGCCATGCAAAATAAACACTCTTCCATGAATACTATTGTGCGCTATTAGAATGTTCTCTACCATAATACTATTCAGTGTTAATTCAAAAGGTATGTTACTTCTCTTTATAAACTGGGTGGTTCGAGCCCTGAATGCTAATTGGCTTACAGCCATGGTATATCAGACCGTATACCACGGGTATGACAAAACATATATTTTTACTGTTCTAATTACGTTGGTTACCAGTTTGTAACAGCAATTAGGCACCTCGGGGGTTTGTGGTATATGGCCAATATACCACGGCTAAGGGCTGTATCCAGGCACTCCACGTTGTGTCGTGCTTAATGAAAGCCCTTAGCCATGGTATATTTGCCATATACCACGCCCCCTCGTGCATTATTGCTTAAATATAGAATGTGAGCTCTAAAATGCTCGCATAATGTCTGTTGTCAAAGCTGAAATCCGTAAAGTGGGAAACAGCACCACTGTTCGGCAGGTAGGTTAGCGGTTATGAGCAATGGGCCAGTAACTGAAAGGTTGCTGGTTCAAATCCCCTTGATTAAGACAGCCCCCTGCACCTCTCTGATTCAGAGGGGTTGGGTTAAATGCGGAAGACACATTTCGGTTGAATGCATTCGGTTGTTCAACTGACTAGGTATTGCCAGTGCCTTTGTTTTGGTTTTGTTGATGAAACGGAGGAGAGTTCAGCGTTGTGGTAAAAGAGTTGCTGTCCATATTCTGGTGTTCTATCGTGCGTGCAATGATGTCCGAGGGGGAAAACATGTGTTTGTTGTTTGAAGTATCTTCTTTGTTGATGTAATATCTCAACCAGACGTGGCAGTTTCCCAAACTAAGAATTTCAGCTTTAAGCTCCTCTGTGATTTCTGGAGGCATAACGGTGATAATCTCACAGAAGTAAGCACTCCTCTGTCTCAGGTGCTTGGTAACAAAAGTAAGTTCCATGACAGGAAAAACAAAGACTCGTCAATGAAGATAAAATGTGTTGATAACTAAGTATGTGCAGGTGCAGTCTTCTCCTGAGATTATTTTCCCCCTTTACTCACTCTTTCTTCACACTAGTTTTTCCATCCATCCCTTTCTCAGAACCCCAAGCTATAACTACGCTCCTAACCCAGACAAGCACTGGATCCTGCGCTACACAGGCCCCATGAAACCCGTCCACATGCAGTTCACCAACATGCTGCAGCGCCGGAGGATGCAGACCCTGCTGTCTGTAGACGACAGTGTGGACAAGGTGGGTCAGACAGACAGACAGTGTGGACAAGGTGGGTCAGACAGACAGACAGTGTGGACAAGGAGGAACAGACTGGCTAAATCTACCCGACTACCTGTCTTACTGTGTCCTCGTCCTCAGGTGTACAACATGCTGGTGGAGACAGGTGAGTTGGACAACACCTACATTGTCTACACATCAGACCACGGCTACCATATTGGTCAGTTTGGCCTGGTCAAAGGCAAGTCCATGCCCTACGAGTTTGACATCCGGGTACCCTTCTTCATACGAGGCCCCAACGTGGAGGCAGGAGCCATGTGAGTGCAACTTTGAAGATTTCTACAGTACCTTTTTCTGAAATATGTTTTTTCAAAGGAAATGGTTAGCTTTTGTCTCTTATCTCACTGCTACTACTACTCTGCTGACTGGATCTCTTATGCAGCACTCATCTCTCTCCTCCACCTGTCCTTCTGCAGTAACCCTCATGTGGTGCTGAACATTGACCTGGCTCCCACACTGTTGGACATGGCCGGAGTGGACGTTCCCTCTGACATGGACGGCAAGTCCATCCTTAAACTCCTGGACACAGACAAACCTGTCAACAGGTACAGAGGGTCACACCTTTGTTTGCATGTTTTGGACTTAACACAATGGATGGACCGTGTAGCTTCAGGATCACCTGACCTTTCTTGCTCTTGTTGCAGGTTCCAGGTGAACAAGAAGGGGAAGATGTGGAGGGACTCGTTCCTGGTAGAGAGAGGGTCAGTATGTTTCATTCATAATCTAGTCATGAATCAAGAGCAATTAAAGGGATAGTTCACCAACATTTCAGAATTACTTCATAATTTTCCACAGCCAAGTGATCAGAGTTTGATGGACAGTATGTTTGGTCGATGTTCTATTACTCTCATCTGATTCTATCCTGTTTACACAGGAAGCTGCTCCACAAGAGGTCTGATGGGAAGGACGTGGCCCAGGAGGAGAACTTCCTGCCCAAGTACCAGCGGGTCAAAGACCTGTGTCAGAGAGCAGAGTACCAGAGCTCCTGTGAACAGCCAGGACAGGTATGAGTTCTGTACAATACCCACATAGACAGGCACACAAACACACACACACACTTATACATTAGCAGAAATGTAGCTAAATCTCTCCCCCCTTCTCCTCTCTCGGCGTGTGAAGAAGTGGCAGTGTGTGGAGGACCCTTCTGGTAAGCTGAATCTGTATAAGTGTAAGGGCATGGCCAGTCTCTATGCCTCACGTATGCGGGCTCTGATGGCCAGCAGCGGGTCCCAGCAGGGGGTTGGACTTGTCTCCAATGCTGGAGACAGCTGTGACTGTGGCCCCCTAGGCCCCAAAAGTACACCCCTGAAGAGGAAGAGACTGCTCACCAAGAAGAGTGAGTAGTCCTTTCAGCGGCTTATATATTTACCATATCAAAGACTTATAAAGTGTGCTTGCAAATTATAGCAGAACAAGTCTTTTCCCCATCAGAGGTAAAGTCCAGTAAGAGTCTGACTAGGAACCGTTGGGCCCGGTCCGTTCCCTTTGAGCTGGATGGAGACATGTATGCTGTGGACCTGGAGGAGGGCTACAGGCCCGTGGGCCTCAGCAACACCAGCTGGCCCGGGGAGAGGAGGAGAGGAGCGGGCCTGCTGGAGGACAACGATGAGGAGTTCAGTGGCATGGGAGTCACAGCCAGGCCCACAACCAACAAGAGCCTTACACCACCTGTTGCTCTTAAAGTCACCTACAGGTGTGTGTGTGTGTGTGTGTGTGTGTGTGTGTATATACAGTGCATTCGGAATGTATTCAGACCCCTTGACTTTTTCCACATTTTGTTACGTTACAGCCTTATTCTAAAATAGATTAAATAGTTTTTTTCCCTCATAAATCTACACACAATACCCTATAATGACAAAGCAAAAACAGGTTTTAAGAAATGTTTGCAAATGTATTAAATACAAAAAAAATGAAATATCACATTTACATATGTATTCAGACCCTTTACTCAGTACTTTGTTGAAGCACCTTTGGCAGCGATTACAACCTTGAGTCTTCTTGGGAATGACGCTACAAGCTTGGCACACCTGTATTTGGGGAGTTTCTCCCATTCTTCTCTGCAGATCCTCTTAAGCTCTGTCAGGTTGGTTGGGGAGCGTCGCTGTACAGCTATTTTCTGCTCTCTCCAGAGATATTCGGTCTGGTTCAAGTCCGGGCTCTGGCTGGGCCACTCAAGGACATTCAGAGACTTCTCCCGAAGCCACTCCTGCGTTGTCTTGGCTGTGTGCTTAGGGTCATTGTCCTGTTGGAAGGTGAACCTTCACCCCAGTCTGAGGTCCTGAGTGCTCTGGAGAAGGTTTTCATCAAGGATCTCTCTGTACTTTGCTCCGTTCATATTTCCCCCGATCCTGACTAGTCTCCCAGTACCTGCCGCTGAAAAACATCCCCACAGCATGATGCTGCCACCACCATGCTTCACCGTAGGGATGGTGCCAGGTTTCCTCCAGACGTGACGCTTGGCATTCAGACCAAAGAGTTCAACCTTTGTTTCATCAGACCAGAGAATCTTGTTTCTCATGGTCTGAGAGTCTTTAGGTGCCTTTTGGCAAACTTCAAGCGGCCTGCCATTTGCCTTTTACTGAGGAGTGGTTTCCGTCTGGCCACTCTACCATAAAGGCCTGACTCTGGAGCTCTGTCAGAGTGACCATCGGGTTCTTGGTCACCTCCCTGACCAAGGCCCTTCTCCCACAGTTGGTCAGTTTGGCCAGGCGGCGACCTCTAGGAAGTGTCTTGGTGGTTTCAAACTTCTTCCATTTAAGAATGATGGCGGCCACTGTGTTCTTGGGGACTTTCAATGCTGCATAAATGTTTTGGTACCCTTCCCCAGATGTGTGCCTCGACACAATCCTGTCTCGGAGCTCTACGGACAATTCCTTTGACCTCATGGCTTAGTTTTTGCTCTGACATGCACTGTCAACTGTGGGACCTTTCCAAATAATGTCCAATCAATTGAATTTACCACAGGTGGACTCCAATCAAGTTGTAGAAACATCTCAAGGATGATCAATGGAAACAGGATGCACCTGAGCTCAATTTTGAGTCTCATAGCAAAGGGTCTGAATACTTACATAAATAAGTTATTTCTGTTTTTTATTATTAATACATTTGCAAACATTTCTAAAAACCTGTTTTTACTTTGTCATTATGGGGTATTGTGTGTAGATTGATGAGGGAATTGTTTTTATTTAATCCATTTTAGAATATGGCTGTAACGTAACAAAATGTTGAAAAAGAGAATGGGTCTGAATACTTTTCGAATGCACTGTATATGTGTGTGTGTGTTGAGTTTCAGTATTAGTGGGTTTTGAGTAGTAGTAATATAATTAATCTTTATGTACAGTAGCCCTACAGTAATTCATTTTCGGGTGTTGAAAGAGAGGGTGCCGTAAGAGAGGGTGCTTTAAGGAAGTGCTAACTGTGGTAAATGCAGTTGTCAGGTGAAGTGTCACGGTTTCGGCCGAGGCTGCCTCTCTTCCTTGCTCGGGCAGGCTTCGGCGTTCGTCGTCTCCGGAATACTAGCTGCCACCGTTGCATGTTTCTATGTTCGTTTGCTTTTGTCTGATTGTTGTTACACCTGTTATCGTTTAGTGTAATTAGTGTCCTATAAGTTCTCGTTGTGTTTGTCTAGTGTTGTGTGTGATTGTTTTACTGTCGTGCGTTTTGCTGGACGTATTACTGTTTGCTCGGTTGAGCTGTTCTCCATTGTGTTGGAGTGTTTTGTCGCACCTGTGTAGTGCGCCCGTTTTGTTTTCGCCTGCGTGCGGAGTTTCGCCTTCGGGCTAGTTTGTGCGTTTCTCTTGTGGATATTTCACTAAAGTCTTTGGACTGTACTTCTGCGTCCTGCGCCTGATTCCACCACCACACCCACCTACAGCATCACTGACATGAAGATGCTGATAGCTGGTGTGTGTTTACCCCACAGGTGTTCCATCCTGATGAATGACACAGTCAGGTGTGATGGAGGACTCTACAAATCCCTCCAGGCCTGGAAAGACCATAAGCTCCATATCGAGCATGAGGTACTACTCTAGTTGATCCCCTATCTGACCTATTCTGTAGCCTTTCCTGTCATTGCGGGGGTTAACTATTTTATATGTGTTGTGTGCAGATTGAAACCTTGCAGACGAAAATAAAGAACCTGCGTGAGGTCAAGGGTCACCTGAAGAAGGTTCGGCCTGAAGAGTGCCAGTGTAACACCCCCAGTTACCTGTCCAAAAACAAAGGGATATTCAGACTCAATGCAGGCCGCATTCACTCACTCAGGTAATGAATGTGAGAGAGTGGTGTGTGCATTTGTTTGTGTGTGTGTGTGTGTGTGTGTGTGTGTGTGTGTGTGTGTGTGTGTGAGAGAGAGAGGGCTAGAGAGAGAGAAACTTCCCCACAAACCAGTGTACAGCATCTCTCTTTATCTGTCCTCTTGTGGTGTGTCCTCAGCAAAATGCCCTCTAAGCAGAAGAAGCAGTGGCTGATGAAGGAGCAGAAACGCAGGAAGAAGCTCCGTAAACTTCTCAAGAGGCTCCGCAACAACGACACCTGCAGCATGCCTGGTCTCACCTGCTTCACCCATGACAACCAGCACTGGCAGACTGCCCCCTTCTGGACAAGTATGGAATGACAGAATGCAGACTAAATCAAATGTAGAACAGTACAAACAGTTGTTGTAAAATTGGGATTCGTGATTTCTTACCTCTCTGCTACCTCTCTGGCACAAAATGATATATTGTATGATTACTTGTAAGCTCCAAAAACAAGATAAAGTAGATACTGTATAGGTGAGTTAAAATTGGCCATGCGTCTTGTTTGAATAGCCCCGCTGTCTCTTTCCGTCCCCTGCTAGTGGGTCCATTCTGTGCTTGTACCAGCGCTAACAACAACACCTACTGGTGCCTGAGGACCATCAACGACACACACAACTTCATATTCTGCGAGTTTGCTACGGGCTTCATAGAGTACTTTGATCTGAACAATGATCCATACCAGGTATCTCTCTCTCTCTCTCTCTCTCTCTCTCTCTCTCTCTCTCTCTCTCACTCCCCCTATCTCTTTTAAATCTCACAAATGAGATATAGCCTATTGTGATTTTTTACAGTGTTTGGTAACATACCCTGTCCTCTGTTACTTTGTGTGTCTATAGTTGATAAATGGGGTTAGCACCTTGGACCGCACTGCCCTCAACCAGATGCACCAGCAGCTTATGGAACTCAGGAGCTGTAAAGGCCACAAGCAATGCAACCCAGAGACAGGTGAGTAAGAAAGAAAGACACACACACACACACACAAATACACACACACACACATACACACACATAACTCTGTTAATTCTGTTCTATGAAAACATTCTCTATTTCAGGTGGTAAAGACAGAAACTCCTTCAGTGAATACAGGTACCCTCATTTTTCTGGCTTAATGTATTTTTGTCCTTTGATGTCTTATTATTTCAGTTTTTCAAGGATGAATATGACTAACAATAAATCACTCAAGTTAAAAATATACAGTGCATTCGGAAAGTATTCAGACCCCTTCCCTTTTTCCACATTTTGTTACGTTACAGCCTTATTCTCAAATGGATTAAATTAACTTTTTTCCCTCATCAATCTACACACCAATACCACATAATGACAAAGCGAAAACAGGTTTTTAGAAATTTTTGCTAATTTATTATAAATTAAAAAACACAAATAACTTATTTACATAGGAATTCAGACCCTTTGCTATGAGACTCGAAATTGAGCTCAGGTGCATCCTGTTTCCATTGATCATCCTTGAGATGTTTCTACAACTTGATTGGAGTCCACCTGTGGTAAATTCAATTGATTGGACATGATTTGGAAAGGCACACACATGTCTATAGAAGGTCCCACAGCTGACAGTGTGTGTCAGAGCAAAAACCAAGCCATGAGGTCGAAGGAATTGTCCGTAGAGCTCCGAGACAGGATTGTGTCGAAGCACAGATCTGAGGAAGGGTACCAAAAAACGTCTGCAGCATTGAAGGTCCCCAAGAACACAGTGGCCTCCATCATACTTAAATGGAAGAAGTTTGGAACCACCAAGACTCTTCCTAGAGCTGGCCGCCCGGCCAAACTGAGCAATCGGGGGAGAAGGGCCTTGGTCAGGGAGGTCACCAAGAACCCGATGGTCACTCTGTCAGATGTAAGAACCTTCCAGATGGACAACCATCTCTGCAGCACTGCACCAATCAGGCCTTTATGGTAGAGTGGCCAGACAGAAGCCACTCCTCAGTAAAAGGCACATGACAGCCCGTTTGGAGTTTGCCAAATGGCACCTAAAGAACTCTCAGACTGTGAGAAACAAGATTCTCTGGTCTGATGAAACCAAGATTGAACTCTTTGGCCTGAATGCCAAGTGTCACGTCTGGAGGAAACCTGGCACCATCCCTACGGTGAAGCATGGTGGTGGCAGCATCATGCTGTGGGGATGTTTTTCAGTGGCAGGGACTGGGAGACTAGTCAGGATCGAGGGAAAGATGAACGGAGCAAAGTACAGAGAGATCCTTGATGAAAACCTGCTCCAGACTGTTTAGAACCTCAGACTGGGGAAAAGATTCACCTTCCAATAGGACAATGACCCTAAGCACACAGCCAAGATAGCGCAGGAGTGGCTTCGGGACAAGTCTCTGAATGTCCTTGAGTGGCCCAGCCAGAGCCCGGACATGAAACCGATCGAACTTCTCTGGAGACCTGAAAATAGCTCTGCAGCGACGCTCCCCATCCAACCTAACAGAGCATGAGAGGATCTGCAAAGAATGGGAGAAACTCCCCAAATACAGGTGTGCCAAGCTTGTAGCGTCATACCCAAGAAGACTTGAGGCTGTAATCGCTGCCAAAGGTGCTTCAACAAAGTACTGAGTGAAGGGTCTGAATACTTATGTAAATGTCAGATTTCAGTTTTTTATTTGTAATAAATGTGCAAAAATGTCTAAACCTGTTTTTGCTTTGTCATTATGGGGTATTGTGTGTAGATTGATGAGGGGAAAAAAACTATTTAATCCATTTTAGAATAAGGCTGTAACAAAATGTGGAAAAAGTCAAACGGTCTGAATACTTTCCGAATTAACTGTAGGTTATACATTTTTCTACATTGGGTAGATAATAGAATGGAACACTTATTTTAAGCAGATTATAATGTCTCTGAGGTACATAACAGGCATCACACAAATTGTCATGTTGTTAATTTTATTAATGAAAATCTTTTTAGCACAAGATGAATTCGAAAATGCAAGCATGATAGCAGCTTCTGTTCCCTATTTTGCAATGATGCCTAATTGCTTGTCTCCGCTGTTTGTTTGTGTATGTGTGTGTTTCCCCTGCATGTGTGTGGACTGTATGCATGCTTCAGGCCAGTTCAACGTCGAAAGAGGCCAAAAGTGAAGAAGCCCTCCTCCAAATCGATGTGAGTTTGTCATAACCCATCTGTTCCTCTCAGTTCAGCCAACCTCCCCCTCTTCATCCAGATTACCTTGCTTTGTCAGATGGCCAAGTAGCATGCTTTTCTCAGCCCTCTCGGTCCAGGCTTTTCATGTAATTAATACTTACCTGCATTTAAGTGCCATGCCCTCAAGGTTTAGATTCACTTTTCAAAGTCAGTGGTATTGTGCTGATGAGGTGTCCTTTGTCTTTTCTGGTAATTTCTTGTGTCATCTTGTGTTTTCCTATTAGAGTTGCTAGGAAAATACCCACTGGAACTACTGTTATAACTACTGTAGTCCCCTGTAGCTCAGTTGGTAGAGCATGGCGCTTGCAACGCCAGGGTTGTGGGTTCGTTTCCCACGGGGGGCCAGTATGAAAATGTATGCACTCACTAACTGTAAGTCGCTCTGGATAAGAGCGTCTGCTAAAAAAAAGACCCTAAAAAAGAAAATACTAAATAAGCAATTGATTGATGAGAAACTCTGATCTATCTCTATCTTGGTGTTGTTTATACAGAGGGCAGATTTGGGAAGGATGGGTTGGTTAACAACCTGTGTCGCACAACCCACCACATCGCGGTCTGCCAACAGAGGAGGATCAGAACTACTGGAGAACCTGAGGACCTTGTACAGACTTCATGGGAATGTAACCTGAAATACCATTATTGTAGGAGTTTATGGAAGAGGATGCTGATCCAACATTAGCTACCACTGATGCTCAGATCATCACCCAGCAGAGCAAATACTGAAACAGCCAAAAATAATGAAACCTCTCCAGTCTTCTCTTTCTCTCTCACACACACACATTCACATCGACACACACACACACATTCACATCGACACACACTCACACAGGAATGTTCTTACCTCTCATCTATCTCCCCAGTTCTCAGGACCACTAACCTGAGTGGGAGACTGATCAGTTGAGTGTGGATAAACTCTGAACCTTTACTTTGGCTTTCAACAATTGCCCTGAGTGAACAGTGAATGTGAGGTGTGTTTAATATTAGTCTCTCGTAACCGCCGTAGCATTGGGTGCCGAGATTAGTTTAATGTCAACTCTGCTGCTACAAACTGATGTGTATAATCTCTTATGGCCGTGTGCCATAATTATATGGTATATGATGTCAGGCAATTACATCAAGTCAAGCTTTCCCCTCACTGCACACTCACAGCATGAAAAGTACTGTCCACAAAACGTCAGTACACCTGGAAACTCTCCTCAAGGCTAAGACTCCTCACCTCCTTTTGTTGGTGCTACGGCTACAGAATAATTTCCCCAGGACATGTACTCAATTTTTTTGTATTGTAACTAATATTAACGTTGATCAAATGTCATGCAAGGATTATTTACGGCCCCCAAGAATGAGACAGGCGTGATGATAACAACACACCAGACCGTATGGGGATGGAGCTGGTTAGGACATGACACATTACATAATCACCTATCTTATACCCCCTAGTTCACTTCAAACCCAGGATGGGACTTCTCTAACCACTACCCCACCCTCCTAGACAATGGTACAAACGATTGGTGTAAACATCTTCACACCAGCAGAATGCTGACATTTCATTAGTGGATGTCATTTTACCCCTTTGTATTGCTAATGCCACCTGCTAGGTCCGATCAGTTTAGTTTGTTCAGCTTGCTATACATGGTGCTATGATAACGTTGCGAAAATAAAGACTTGCTGTACATACAGTATGTATTTGAATGTATGTTGTGCAGTTAATATAAATGTTTACATTATTTTTTATAATACTGAAAAAGAGGCAGACCTCTCTTTTGTGTTCGATATGAGATGACAAATATTACCTTTTAGATAAGAACGTATGCTGATGAATTTTCCTAACTCTGTATTTGTCCATTTGTTCTCTCTGCACATCTTTCTGAATTGTTCTCTGCTCTCTCAAAACCCACTTTTAGATTGAAAAAACGTCTTTCTGATGAAAAAGCACTTAGAAAACCTTCACTGTGAAAGGTCGCTCTGGATAAGAGCGTCTGCTAAATGACTAAAATGTCAATGTAAATGTAAAAGAAATCCCTGTAAAATGACTATGCTTGTCTGCTGTACATACGAGTAAACAACACAACAATGTAATGCATCTTGACATGCATATTCATTATATTGCCTTTGTTTTTCTGCTTTCTTTGTTTCTTAGCAGTGAGACTCCCACAGCAGAGAGTTCTCATAGTGAGTAACTGTGAATAAAGTGTTGATTGCCCTCACGCCTCTTTACTACTTTAACCATTCATTTTTCCCATAGGGCTGTGTTTCATGTAGGCTTACCCTGGCGTGACATTTTGATAACTGTGTAAATCTCTCTAGGACAAGGTGACTTTTATTAATATATTCACCTGTATTTACCCCACCAAAATTAAATGCTAATTAGCTGCTAATGTGGCTATCATAAAGAACTACAAATGCCATGATGATCTGGATGAGACTGACGAATCGAGGCAAAGGTAAGAATCTCTTGATTAACTATCTAATATCAGCTAAATGTAGTAATGAATAAATTGGTTAAAAACATGTAAATGGATAATTCTGTGAACTCTCTTGTGCAAGTTTTATATAGACACAATACCTGTTAGCAACGGTGTCAACTAGAGATGATGTGCAGGAGATTGCAGGGATTTGTAGTTTTGCATGATGTCTAGTTTGATGCTAATTGGCATTTTTGAATCAGAGAGTAAATAGAGACAAATATACTGATGAAAGTCACCTTTTCAGAGAGAGATGTACATGGTTATCAAAACGTCACGACAGGGTAAGCCTACACGAAACACAGCCCTTATTTTAAGTGTTTCTAAAATCTCCTATGGGAAAAATGAATGGTGGAAAAACGATTGGAACCATTCCCCTGTTTGACCGCTAGGTTGTATGGGTATTATGACACCTCCACCGTGGGGCTCTATAGGCCTACATAGTGAGCTCAGGATGAGTAATGAGGCAATGAGTTCTGTGCCATGAAACTCCACCAGCAGGTGTCTCTGTTTGCTTTCTTGTTGCTGACCCACTTGTCTTCAATCCAGTTCACTCTTCTGACTGTGATAAAATCAAAGCTAGTTAAAGGTTAATTATCTTTGATGCAGAACTATGTAGAACCAACCATCCTTAGGTAGGCCTACATTTTATATTCCTGAAGTCCAATTTTGGGGGACTGATGTCGTTTGGACTCAAGATCTTAAAATTACAATATTAAAAGTGAGTACTTTACACTGAAGAACTGAAACGTGAGTTATAAATCTAAAGCATCAACATTGGACTATTATTATTTACCAAGAATAGCCTCATAATTGTGTCGCATGTCCGGTCAGAGGTATGGCCATAGCAGGATGAGCGGGAACTACAGGGGTGCGGCCCGGACTCAAGAGTTGGGGTGACCCCCATCGTATGACTCACGTGCAGAGGCGGAGCCAACTGTCTCGTGTTCATACCGTCCAACGCGTTAGGAAAATTAACAAGAATAAATAAACAAGTTACACTATAAATTCAAGACCTAGGCAACGCAATGCTTACAATGTGAAGAAGATGTCCGGGATAAGGTAAGCTACCTTCTAAGGTAATTTAAACCTACCGGACAAGATTTAGAACATAAATAACTTTCACTCAACCCGCAACGCATGATTTGTTTGGCGTACTATTTTGAATTTCGAGCACCGACTAACTGAAGTGTAAAATGTTTTAATTGAGTTTAAAGTTTGTGTAACAATGTTACATTAGCTAGAATACAATGTATGGTTACCATAATCCAATATCCCAGTGAAGATGAGGAATGGTGGAGGAAAGTGATATTGCAATGGACAGAACTTTTATTATAGTGTAGTAGGCTGTCTGCTGTCCTGTTTATACAGGTTAATGCTGAATGATATTCAGTCAAATATGTCAGCGATGAATGGATAGTCATTTAGAATAGTTACCAATAAGTTTCCCCCATGTCTAGCTGAGGAACGCTCAACTCCTTTCTCTTATATCGAGGCGTTCCTTATCTACCCGATATCATGTTCTTTCATTATCATATAGAGACAATTAGCAGCCACATCTAATCGTGTTAAAAACTAAACCTTTATAACACTATAATCACCCAACATCAAAGGCTGATTTAACTTTTTCTCTATAAAGGCAGTATTTCCCATAGCTGTTGAATCCCTTTTGGGAATATTTCGTTTGCCTGTTGAGTTTAATTTAATTGCAAGTTTCCTGTTTAATTCTTGAACTGATTCGCAAATTGGCTTTAGTGGCTCTTTGCTGTGGTTAACAGACCAATTGCTGTGGTTAACAGACCAATAACCATAGCAGAAGACAAATGTTCCTAACCCATTTGTTGCATTGCTGTTTCACTCATGTAGGTTAGGATGGCTGGTGCTGTTAACTTGACTTGGTTTATTCAGACGTTAATATTCTCCAACATCTGTCTCTATGTGGCAGGTAGCTTAGTGGTTAAGAGCGTTGTGCCAGTAACCAAAAGGTCGCTGGTTCTAATCCCCGAGCCGACTAGGTGATAAATCTGTCGATGTGCCCTTGAGCAAGGCACTTAACCCTAATTGCTCCTGTATGTAGCTCTGGATAAAAGCATCTGCTAAATGACTAAAATGTAAATGTATGCCTTAAGACAGATGTGCAGTTGCTCATTAAAACCTTTTTAGTCTCTCTCTTCTGCTTTCAATTTGTTTCTTGAAACAGATGGATAAATGGAAATAAATCTAAGCCACAAGCTCAAAGAAAGTCTTATGTGAATGCACTCAAGTTTTACTTCCCAAAAACCTCATTATTGATTAACATCAATTTAAATTGCGTTTATGTATTTGAATGTGTTATTGGTGTTAACTTTTTAAAGCAAGCATTTCTGTGTGTCGAGCCACCCCCTGCAGTGTCAACAGCATTGACATCTCAGTTTATAGTGGTTCAGGGGGACATTCGAGAACAGGGGTACTCAAGTACTACACTGAACAAAAATATAAACGCAACATGCAACAATTTCAAAGATGTTACTAAATCAGTCAATTTAAATTAATTAATTAGGCCCTAATCTATGGATTTCACATGACTGGTAATACAGACACGGATCTG